ATTTTAGATAAAAATTTAACATATTATATAAATGATAATTAAAAATATTTTAAAGTCAAATAAAAGTAATCAACAAGAACTTATTTAAATAAATAGGGAGAATATATTTAAAACTTAAATAGAATACTTAAAGGAATGCATCTCCTCAAGTTCATAAAACTTTCTTAAAAATCAGACCTTTATTATCTTATTCAAACTGCAATTTATAAATTTAAATAACAAAATCTTGAATTAAAAACTAAAAAAAAAAAGAAAAAAAGAAGCCTTTAATTCAACAGCTTAGGCCACTGGATCAAGATTGAACATTTTTTGGATTAAAAAAAAAAAACCTAACATGTTATAGCCAGAGAATATATCTTATTTCAGAACTCTTCTCAAATGAGGCAAAACTCTGTCTCTTTATTTTATTTTGAGACAAGAACAAGCAAATAAAGCACCACCATTGTACATGCTCTAAATGGGTTCATCCGTTCACGAATCATGATCCAGGGATTGAACCGGGTTGTGTAATGTGTATGGCTCATGCCCGTTGGTGGGGCACAGATGCGTCGACTTTTTGAAGTACGTCAACTAAGGCTTTTTTGTAAGCCCAGCCCAAATGAAAATCAAACTGCATCAAACCCATTCTTCGATATCTACCTGTTTGGGCCGGAAACTGAACCCTACGGTGAGGTTTGGTTGCCAATATCCTGGGAAAACATTTGCAGGGAAGCCGAGAAAAAGGTAAAAAAATTAGACGGCCTAGTCTAGATAGGGGTGGGCAAAAACCGGTTTCGGTTGAAACCAAAACCGGTTTTAAAATAACCAAAAATTTTTTTCTTGAATTTTGAGAACCAAAATCGAATTAAAATTTTCACAAATCAATCGGTTTAGTTACCAATAAAATCGGTTTGGTTTTGATTTTTACTAAATAAATATTAATAAATTTTTTTTCAGTAATAAATTATATTTTATATTATATTTTATCATATTTTATCATATTTATCTAAATTTTTATTTTAAAGAGGCTTATTTTCGATTTTTAGTTTGTGAAAACTTCAACCAAAATTAAACCAAAATTTATTCGATTAATATCAAAATCAAAATAATAAAACTTAAAAACCATTAAAACCAAACCGAATTTATTTTTTCGATTCGATTTTTGATTAACCATTCGGTTGCCCACCCCTAAGTCTAAAAATGAATGTTTGGGGCGCAAAAATCAAAACCTAATTATAATTAGCTATATCCGTAATATAATGGATATAAGTGGTTATAATTAATATAGTCTATTATAAATTAGTCACCTGATTATATAGCTGCAATTTATTTTTTCTAAGGTTTTTGAGCAGGAAACAACATTTCAATTCAACACTATATCATGTTACATCCTTATAGAACCAACTGCAATAATCCTACTGAATAAATTATTTAAGGATTCAAAATTCGAGGGAAGCTGGTTAATTTTTTTTTTTTTTTTGGCTCGACTTCCCTACAAATGTTACCCCAGGATATTGGCACCCAAAAACACCGATAAAATCCAAACCATAAAGAATCCACTTTATTTTTATTTTTATGTTGTCTCTTTCTTTTTTTGACAACCAATTCTTTTGTTTCACTATAAAATTGGTTACAAATATTAATTTAATTTAATTTAATTGTTAAAAATAAAGATAAAAATTAGTACATATTGAATAATGTGAAATTAAAATATAATAAATTATAAAATTTCATATCTGCCTTTAACCTTAACTTTTATATATATATATATATATTTTTTAAATTTAAATTCCCAACAAGTGTTGACACCTATTTTATTACTAGAATATGGGGTGTTGACAATTGACACTATTGGTCAATGCCTAGGTCAAAAGAATTAATAATTAATAAAAAATATATAAAATTAATACACCTTAATCTATTCAAAGTTAGAAAAACCCTTCATTTTTAGTAAAATTAATTAAATATATTTAATTTTTGAGAAACTTTTTCCTATCCAATTGGAGGTTTATTTTCTTTGTCCTTATAATTGATGCCTAACCCAGTGCAGTGCTGATCCTTTCGTTCTTTCTTTCATTTAACTTTATTTTCGAAGAGTTGGAGAAAGCAAATGTATCATCCATCATGCAAGGGGGCAGCAGAAAACATGATGCAGGGCAGATACCATCCATCATGCAAGCTGATAACCGAGAACAATATAATTCAGTAGTTCTAGAGATCCCATTATGTAGGAGAGATATCATTTATCATGGAAGAGCGTAACAGAGAACATGCAGCAGAGACACCATCCATCATGCAAAACGATAACGGAGAACATGAAGTAGATTTGAGTCATTTGACATCATCCAAGGCCAAGGGTTTCATCTTCAGAATTCCAGGCTTGCTTAAAATGCGTAATGAACAGGCTTATACGCCCTATAAATTTTCAATTGGTCCCTGGCATTTCGGTAAAACACAGCTGTTGCGCACGGGACTAAAATTGAAAGAGTCCTTTCTTGAAGGACTCATTAATCGTTTCCCAGATCCAGCAACAAAGAGTCGGTTGGAAGAAGCCATAAAAAATGTGCATGGCAAGGCTAGAGAATGTTACGAGGGAGGGGATGTTTATGATGAGGGAGACAATATGGGTGTCGCCAAAGAAGAATTTGAGAAAATCTTGCTACTCGATGGCTGCTTTATTATCGAGTTGTTCCGCAAGAATGCTGAGAAGGTATCCACACGATCGAGAAAATGAGTTTGTACTCTTCAATTTGAATCGAGTTGTTAATTACTGGGGCCAATATGTATATACAACTAAAGGTAGATATGTCATTTACTCGTATATCCGTACAACCAAATCTTCTATCTAGGTTTTCTTCTTCGTTTTCTTCCTTTTCTCTACATTATATTCATTCCTCGTTATTGTTCTTGTTCCTTTTCTCTGTATTCTCTTCACTACCTATCTTAACTATTACTTCATCCAATACACCTACTAAATTTCCCTATTATTCCGTTACTTCCTACAAATATTATTTCAAAATAGTTAATATCTTAAATTATACTACACATTGATATTTTAAATACTATAACTGATTATAGAAAAAAAGAAAATTTTGTGTGGCCCCAGTAATTTGTCACGTGACCTTAACCACTTCCTGGCATGAGAGGGAACGAGAAACCTTGGAACCTTCATTATTTGACATCGAGATCTGATGCAGAACATATTGATGATTCACTGACTCGGTTCCTTGTAGCCACACAACTTCTGAACGGAAAGCAAAGATACATCGATACAATATTGATCAAAACATTCTACTGAGCAAAGGATAGTAAGCAAAGATACATTGATACAATATTGATAAAAAAGATTATACAGAGCAACGAATAGTTTTGCTAATCTAAAAAGTGTTGGAAAAACTACTTATAGAAAACCTGCATGATGGTGAAAAACAAAACGATTATGGCAAAAACTACAGAAACGATAGCCCATGGCCTAGTAAAATAGTTCTGGATCAAAGAAGCTCGCCATCTTGGCCATCTCCTCTTGCAATATCTGTTGACATCTTCGCAAAGTTGTGCATAAAAGAACTCTTGTATGGGAGTGTTATCACGGACTCTGTTCAAGAAATTAGCCGTCTCCTCAGGGTTTAACCAGTTATTAAGAATTCCTGCTCTGTTCAGTAAATCCACATCATCTGAGGTGTCGACCAGGCAATCTAGGAGTATGGCGTAACTTGTCACCCTTGGCATGCAAAGAAGTCTACATTGCTCAAAGATGATGAGGTTCCTGAAGATGGTTTCTGTCGATGGAGTAATCAGCAAAGGTGGGATTTCGAAGACACCGTTGTTAAATTTTACATCAATGATGTTTCTTGACTTGGCCTTTTGAAATTTGACTCCCGCCTCTTTAAGTCTGCTGGCAGATGGAATAAGGGTCTTGTATTCCAACTCCTTAACAACTCTTTCCGTTTCTGTTGAGAAACACAAGAAATGCCACACAAAATCGACCAGGTGTATAATATTTGAGTCGTGCCTTGATTGAAGCTCCCGCAATTCTTGAGGTTCCTGCAATTCTTGAGGTTCATAATGAGAAATAGTACGTCCAAAACAGCTCAACCAAAGTGCAATCCGTGTGATCACTGGTATTCTTAAACAAGAGCTCAAGCACAAACCAAGGTATTTGGTTTTCTACCAATAATAGGTCGTGATAAATGACCTGCATCATATCTCCTGAGAAGAGTACAATCTCATCTGGTCGTGTGCGTACCTTCCGAGCATTCTTGCGGAACAACTCGATTATAAAGCAACCATCGAGTAGCAAGATTTTCTCAAATTCCTTTTTGGCCACATCCATACTGTGTGTCCCAGCATAAGCAACTCTCTCATCATAATCATAAACATGT